CATAGTTTATTTTTATACCATTTTGTGCATTTGTCCATCTCATACAATCCCCTTGGGCTTCCCATCACCAAATCACCCATGTGCCATCACCATAGTCCAATTCCATTTGGTTTTTATGGCTTCATCTTTCTGCCTCCAGGTAGACAGTCCCAAGGTCAAGGGCAGCCCTGTCAATGCAGGCTCCCCATGACCCTGGGCCCATGATGATCACGGGGGTGTAGTTATCAGTGGCTGACGCTTGGAGCCACTGCAGAAAGCAGGCAATTAGTTTCTTTATTTCTCTTTTTGTAAGCTGGGTGAGCTCTTTGGGATAAGCAAGGAAGACAGTTTCTCAAGTTTGCCTGGAACTGCCTTTGGAAATGTCTCCTTTCCACTCACTCAATATGCCTTATTTGTTGCATGTGATCTGGTCACCTTTTCTCATCCAGGCCTCCTCCTGTGGCCCTTGGCTGCCCTTCAGTGAGGCGAACGCGACAGCCTCTCTCTCTCTCCCTCTTCCGCCTGCCCCTTCTCCCGCACATCAGCGTCTTGCTGCTGGTCTTTTGATAAGTCGCATCTTTTTCCTCTCAGTAGAGACCCTTCTTCAGGGACCCTTGCCTAATGAAACAGAGGCCTTGGGCTGGTGAAATTCCATGGCAAGACCTTAGAAATCAGTGTTTTGGAGAACTGTCAGTACCATCAGAGAAATTCTGGTGAAAGAGAGACCTCACAGGTTTGGGGTGTTGGGGTTCTGAGTGGCACTCACCTCGCAGTCTCAGACTGTCTAGTGATGGAGATCTCCCAGGGACCAGCCACTCCGTATGCATTTGGACTAAGGTATTTTCCTGTGTGCCTCCTGGGTGGTGAGTGAGAATAGAAAAAGGCATAAATCCAGGGTCCTAGCCCCTAGAGGAAGTCTGGAGACACCGTGGTCATGCTTTACCTAACAGGACCTTAGCTGTGCCCCAGTGCTGAACACTGTCCTGTCTGTTTACCCTTTGGTTTGTCCTCACTCCGCCCCCAGACAACCCCTAGGCATAACTCCAAAGCTGCAAGTCCACAGTTTTGCAGTCGACCGCCTGCCACACCAAACACTGGGCTGCAGGGGAGACAGGTCCTTCCCAAGGGAAGGATTCTCAGACCAACCTCTCCCTCCCCAGTTTCTGCATCTCCATCCCTTGCTGTCCCTCCCACACAACCCTGTCCTTGAACACAGGGACCTGGGCTTCTGTTGCCTTTGTGTAAACTAACATTTTAGTGAGTCTGAGGAGAGATAGGGAGGCTGGGAAGAACATTAACCAACCCCCCAACCCCCCATTTAAGTCATGGGGTCACTTGTAATAGAAAAACCTTGTACAGTCCGACCGTGCCTTTCCTCTCCATGTGTGGAAACATGAAAACAAGTGTCCCAGGGCCTCATGATTCCGTGGGGCTGGGTGAGCCACATGAAGCAGGCAGGACTTGGGCCACATCCGGAAGGAGACCCACCTTGGGCTCCATCCCCTGGGGAGCAGTGGGTCCCAGCAAGCCGCTGGGAATCGCCCCACTGGAATCCTGGGCCAGTGAGGGCCTGGAGACGTGGAGCTTCTCGAAAGCCAGGAGGTGTGTGCGTGTTGGGCCCTGGCCAGCCTGTCCTTTGGCCGCCACTGTCCCCTCGACCTTTCTCGTGTCTGGGTTGGTTCCGCAGGTGGGGCGAGAAAGCCAGGGCCTGGGAGTTCAGCCTGAGGTTTCTAGCAAGTTGACCTTTCCCTTTCTCCCCCTCGTGCTCTCTGACTCCCCTTGAGCCCCTCCCCCTCCCACCTGTGCCACTTTATCACCCACAAATGGGTCAGGCACTTTATTTGACAATCTCTAGTGTCATCACACCTGATTTAAAAAAAGAAAATGTATGCCATTGTCAAAAGGAGAATCTGAGCTTTGCAATGATTTCATTCCACATAGCCTTATAAATCCTGGAAATAGGGGGCTCACAGAAGTAATATACTGCGTATGGAAGATATTTTGTATCGTGCCGTTTCCTAAAATCACACGATATCCTAGAAGTTACACACTTCCCAAGTGGTTACGATCCTCAATAGCTTTGTAAGATTGGGGGAGTGGAATATACATAAATCTACTACCTATTTTCCTATCCTTTCTTCTGGGGCCCTTCCTCGATATTTGAATCACGACAGAGAAGGAGCTGTGCAGGAAAGCTAAGCCTCCTCCCTGCGGGTGGTCTTGCAGTTGCCTTATAAATTCGTAAGCTCTAGGAGTCCTGAAGGGAAGGCAGATGAGAGGCACCTTAACCAATCCCAGAAAGAATCTCTCATCCTAACCAAGAAGTCATCTAGAAAAACCTATATTTTTAATGCGAAACAAGCGGGGTTTCTGGACCTCGCAGAGTATTGGATGTCTACAAGTCCTTTTATATTTTGTAACTAAAGAGGTTTCCTATGCAAGGAAGAGCAGTGGGAGCCTGGCCCCTGCCACCAAACAAGACACCCTTTGCATGTACAGAGACGTTGCATTCATACTATGAAAACAGCAAATAAAGCTTTGATGCGAGTTGCAGAAGCTGGCGTGTCAGTGTGTGTGTGAGCGAGCCTGCACTCCCTGGCAGGCAGGCCCGTCGGCCCGGGCTGAGGGAGCAGGAAGCCGGGTCCGAGAGCGGAGGGCTGTGAACGCAAGGCCGGGCCTCCAGTCAACTTGAATCTTCATTCTCCCTGCTCCCAGCCACTGGACTGCTGAGCATCCGTTCTCCAAAAGGGGGTGGGAAGGGTGGAGGGAGGAGTAGGGGTGTGGGTGTGGTAGAAGCCACATTAACAGGCCAGAGTTGAAGGCCGTGACATTCAGCTGGGAGGTCGTGCTCCCTGGGCACTTCTGGCGCTAGTGGGGGAGGATGCACAGGCTGCAGGCATCGAGGGGGTAGAGACTGGGGTGCCCCTCAGCAAGGCTCAGGCCCGTCCTACCACAAAGTCTTCTGGGCTCCAAATGACGGGATGTGGTTGGTGCCGACTGGACAACTCGGGAAATGCACTCGGCACGTCTAGAGCACTTAGTAGGGCCTAAAGGAGCTGTGAGAGGAAGTGGGGCTGATGGGCTGACCCACAGATCTCCTCCTTCATGTCGCTGGCAGGTGGTTGTTACCTCCCACGTGAGGGCTTGAAACCGACGGTGCCTTCCAGGGTCTGGAGCGGGAAATAGCGCCGAGTGAACTGTCAGCAGCAGCTGACCTTCAATTCATCACCCGAGGTCACAAGTCCTCCTGTTTCCAGAGTCCAGGTGTCACCCACGGCATCCTCCACCATCTTCTGGCATGCAGGGCCGTTAAGTTTTGTGCTGACTTGATTTTAGCCAAAATGTGGTTGCTTAACAGCTTACTCTTTGCTTCCTTATCATTTTCATTCAGTAATCATTAAATACCTGCCATGGATGAGATGAGTCTAATTTCACAGAACCAAGAAAAAATGTACAGGTTGCTCTTTTTGGGCTATCATGAAAGCTGCTATTTCTATTGAGGGTAAGAGGAGGTAGACCAGCTGCTTCGCCTCCTAGCTGCAGGGTGAATTTATCTTTCTAAGCTGCTCCCCGAGCTATGAAAGAGGGAGCATAACTCCTCCCCTTACGAGGGCTGGATGAGGATTAAACGTCATGCTCGCGAAACTGGCCCTGTGCCCTGCACGTAGTAGGTCTGCAATATATGGCAGCAGTTGTTCCGAGACGCCCACCCTAGGATGGAAATAAATTGTTGCAGCTGCCACAGGACCCCCGTGGGAGGGGAGTTGGGTTTACATGCAATTTAGATGGCATCTGACTTAAAATGTAGGCCACACGACACATGCAAAAAATTGAGGTATTCTGGGATCTTTCATTTTAAGAATTGGATCTGTTCTAAGTTGATGGCACCAAGAAGCTGAAGAAAGGAAGCTGGGAGTGGTGCCGGGGCTACCGAGGAGCTTACCAGCCCAACGCCTCCTGCCCTGCACGGTTCGGCTCCCACAAAGTTGATAAGATCCATCTACCTCCGGAAGCCATCAGAAGCCATGGCTCAGGGCAAAGAGGCTCCCTGGGTCCCACTATTGGAGAGAAATGACCTGAATGGAATTGGGTGGACAGGGTGCTGCCTCAGCAGGCCGGGGGTGCTGGGCTGTGAGAATGTGCCCATAGATAGGACATTCTTTGCAAAAGCAGACTGAGTCTGCAGACTGCCACCGAGGCTTTTTCCAAGGCTACAGCAACAGGTTCATTCTGGGGTGGGCGGGGGGGACAAGCTGCCTGGCAGCTCACACCTTGAGGCTCTCCATGAGTAATGCACGCTGCCCCGTGCACAAACCAGGCTTTGCTGAGGGTTGGAGCTGAAAAGGAGCTCCGCTAAGCCCAGCTGGTGTCAGAGGTGGTGGCCTGCCAAGGGAAACAGGCGAAGATGGGGTTCCCGAGTGTCAGAGTCCTCCAGGAGCTGGACTGGGCTGGGGCTAGACACAGACAGCTCGCCCACCCACAGACTCTGCACACCAGGGCTGGGGGTGTGTGGCTTGCGCCCAGCTTGCCAGGAGCCGTGGGTGGTAGCAGCTGAGTTGGGGTGTAGGTAGGTGTGGGTGCCTCGTGGACCCCTGTGGACATATGACAGAGGCACATGTGTGTGAAACAGAGGCCGTCCTTGTGCAATGGGTGGAGTGTGGCTTCCCAGGGGCCACGGAGGCTGTGTGTGTGTGTGTGTGTGTGTGTGTGTGTAAGAGACATGAGAACCTTACCATGAGACTCTCGGGGGGCTGACGGTATGATGTCCCTAAGGTGGGGAACTGTCTGTGTCTCTTTAAGTGGGTGCTCCATATTGCATATGGATGAATAACAGAAAATGTGGAAACTGCCTCAGCACTTGGTCCTGCATCGCCTCTTAGCTGTCACCTGCCT